ATTTAAATGCCAAGTAATCAGCTTGTAAACAGAGCTTTTAAATGTAACTCGTTTCTCATGTGGACGGTAAATGGAGACTATTTTAAAGGCAGTTTTATTTAAAATCTTGAAATGCGTTCACTCTTTAAAAGATGGACTTTCCAGAACTGGTTGTAAATGAACTTGCTCCTTGTTTTTGGGGAAGGAGCTGCAGGTGCTCACTCGATGGAAGACAGACAGTGTGGCCCATGGTTTCCTCGGAGTGGCCAGGACTGAAATGTTGAATAAAATCCATGTACATATTTCTTCAGTTCGGAGGGAATGCAGTGCTAGGCCGTCCATTTTCTTTCAGTTAAAAACATTAAATATTCACCAAGGCTGATTTTTTTTTTTTACTGGAAGTGAATTTTTATCTTAAAAATCCTTTTCCCCCTTTTTGTGGTCCACGTTGCCAGTCAGTGCGCTTGTGTTCCAGCCAGCGTCTGTTTCACCCGTAACGTGTCTCATGCTCTAGGTTCTATGAAACCGTGTCCGACGTCTTGCACTCCGTGAAGAAGATGGAGGAGAGCCTGAAGAGGCTCAAACAAGCCCGGAAATCCTCCCCCGCCAACCCCGGTGGGTCCGGCGGCGGCGGCGGCATGAGCGACGATGACAAAATCCGGCTGCAGCTGGCCTTGGACGGCAGTTTGTACATGGGCCACAATTGCTAGGCCGTCAATTTTCTTTCAGTTAAAAATATTAAATATTTACCAAGGCGGTTTTTTTTTTTTTTTTACTGGAAGTGAATTTTTATCTTAAAAATCCTTTTCCCCCTTTTTGTGGTCCACGTTGCCAGTCAGTGCGCTTGTGTTCCAGCCAGCGTCTGTTTCACCCGTAACGTGTCTCATGCTCTAGGTTCTATGAAACCGTGTCCGACGTCTTGCACTCCGTGAAGAAGATGGAGGAGAGCCTGAAGAGGCTCAAACAAGCCCGGAAATCCTCCCCCGCCAACCCCGGTGGGTCCGGCGGCGGCGGCGGCATGAGCGACGATGACAAAATCCGGCTGCAGCTGGCCTTGGACGTGGATTACTTAGGGGACCAGGTAACCGCGAGCGTCCGTTCCAGGGACTCTGGAACCGAGTCCTGGGGTCACCTGGTGGCTCACGTGAGCCCGGAGATGCCGTCGAGGGTCAGGAGGCTGTTCCCTCCGCTGGGAAAAGGGATCGGGGCCCCAAATCCGTGAAGTCGGAATATTTGCTCCCAGGAGTTACGAGAAGGAAGAGATAGGACAACGCGGAAATCGAGTTTTTGAATCCAGTGGGTTGATCTTTTGTGCATTTGGCATCTGCATGGCCAGCAGTGTTCGTGCCCGAGAAGCCCCGGGGCGGTGCTCACGGGCGTGTCCCCCTGGTCACTGCGTGGAAAGTGCCGATAGGACGTCGGGGCCGGGGCCAGGTCTTCTGTGAGTTTGGCTCCGAGTAACCAGAGCTCTGGCCCCGGACCCTGTGTGTGATGCTCGGGAACCCGTCTGACGCAGTGTCCCCGCAGGTGGCAGGCAGGTGGCAAGCGCAGGCTGTGGAGCGCGGCCTGTGGGTGCCCGCACGTCTCCCTCAGGGGCAGCGGGCTCCGCGCAGGCCTTTCTTTGGAGTCAGAGGTGACCCCTCGAGGGTCATCAAACTTGGATGCTCAGAAAGGGGCCCTTCCCCTGCTCGGAGCGTCAGAGGTGGCGGGTGACTACAGAGCGAGTCCTCGGGCCGGTCTCAGGAGCCCTCGCTGGGGAGCAAGACGTGACGTGGGCATTTCCGTCCGCAGGGCCTGGGGTGCCCGCTCCGAGGGGCCTCTCACATCAGGGGCCCCTAGGACTCGCGTTCTCTGCCCCGAGGCGGGTGAGAGATAGGGCCTGGCCCAGTGCGTGGTGTGTTGCTGCTATTTTTTTTCTTTGCTTTTTTTAAAACATTTTATTGATTTTTTACAGAGAGAAAGGGAGAGGGATAGAGAGTTAGAAACATTGATGAGAGAGAAACATGGATCAGCTGCCTCCTGCACATCTCCTACTGGGGATGTGCCCACAACCAAGG